GTTGGTTGGAAAGCATGGAGCCGGAAGCGAGTTCCACAGGCGAGAAATGCGAGAAAAGAAACTGTTAGCATAGAATTTACAGTTATATCTAATCAACTCAAGTGTAAATTGATGAGACCTCGATGCCAGTCGAGTACTGCGCTTCAGTTAAAAATTCTAGGTACCATTACGAAGAGCTCATTCGAAGAATTGTTATGAAAGTATTTATAGAAAAATCACAGTGGGTCCGACCGGGTCACCAATACCATAGTCTTCACCCGTGCCATCCAGCCTCTACGCCATTCTCCAACAGCGCCGGGCCCGATGGCTTGAACATGTACGCCGTGTGCTGAATGGGAGTATTCCGAAGGTCCTTCCGTAAAGGGATCTGGCCACAGGCAAGAAGGCACGTGGGCGACCTCGTCTTCGCTTCAAGGACGTTTGCAAAAAGGGATATGAGGGCGATGGATCTGGAAGTCGAGAGGTAGGCAGACGTTGCCAAAGATCGCTCACGCTGGAGATGCGATCCACGCCGTGGGCAGGATCGAGGAGAGGAGAGGAGTGGAGAAACGGGAGTTTGCCACCGGGAAGAAGCGTGCTCGACAGAAAGAAAAACTGCACGGCGACATGGGAGGAGAACGTATTCATATGCAGTCATTGCAACCTGTGTGGGCCTGTACAGTCATAACAGATGCTGCGCCGTTATCAGCAGCTAAGGCACAACTTTTCGGGCGTAGATTCGAGGTTTCTCGAGACCGACGGATGCCACACACACACACACACACACACACACACACACACACACATTTGCTCAGCTATTGTGTACCACTACTTTCCGCCATCTTTGAAGCAGCTTCATCATTCTATCTTCCCAGAATTTTGCATCTTTTTTTTTACTATGAACTGGTCTAAGTGGTTTTTACACGCTTTCAGAAAACTGAATTTCTACCTATTAAGATAATTATATACAGGTGAAAATAAGTATACATCTGAAGGCACAAGATGAGGTAAATACGTCGGCTATAGTAGGACATACCAACTAAAGTGCGCAAATTTTTGCCGGGCCTTCAAGAAGCATATGGTCTGGCGTTGTCCTCACAAAAGACAATTCCGTTCTGATTGGCCAATTCCGGACGCTTTCCATCGATTACTCTCTTTAATCTGTTCTGTTGGGAAAACTACTTGTCGAAATTCAACGTTTGAATTTGGAGAAGTAGCTCGTCATATACAATGACCTTCAAATCCCACCGAATACATAGCATATAGGGAATTAATGGTGGATCGTTTCGTTTCGCCAGGAAAACATCGAGAAAGAAAAAGATAAAGAAATGAATAAAAACAGAAGACTAATTTTCTTCGATGATGGCTCTCCACAACTTTCTATATCGTGCGACACTTAGGTGATGGCTGGTTGACCAAAATCTTTCGATCTTTTAAAAATAATTGTTCTCCAGAATTGTAATATCGACAAAAACAGATAACTCAACCGACTGCGCTGACTGTTCGTATTCTTCCTTTATGTGTCGCGCCCATAGATGATCATGGTTCTCCACAACTTCCTATAAGGGGTTGCTCTTTTCTCCCTTTTCTAACCCCCTTCCACCATTCCACCATTCATTCACACAAGCTTGTCAGGTAGGTAACTCACTGCCTTCTCCTACCTATCTTGTCCTCAATATGCCACATGAAGGTTAAGTTTTCCATCACCAAAATCTTTATGTTATTATTAAGAGGAAAGACCAAAGGAGTTTTAATTATTAAATTATATGTTTAGAATAATCCTTTTTTTAGAACGTTCGAAATTTTGGTTAAAAATCTTTGTTACTATAAGAGAGATCAAAGGTGTTTTAATTATTAAATTACATGTTTAGATCATTTTTTTGAACGTTCAGAATTTTGGTTAAAAAACGTTTTTTTTTGTTGTTTTTTTTTTCGTCAGCGGTGAACCAAAAATTAGTACAGGAAATTTTAGCGTCTTTTTTTACAGTGAAAAGCACATTGATTTGGAAATTCTTGCAAAAATCAAATAATTGTTGTATTTTAATGAAACTTTCAGAACTTATTCACAAATGAATGATATTATTTTACAAATTTTGTTTTTTATAAAATCTTGGTAAAAATATGTTTTACATCTGTTACCCCCACTTATTTTAGGAAATTTCGAGAAATTAAGTGTGTCTCAATTAAGATTTATATTAGTTAAAAGCAGAACAAAAATCTGCTCTGAATCGTAAAAAAAGCAATAAAACTAAGACATTATTTAATTAGTAAAGCTTTTAATTGCTTTTATAAATAAGATATATTATGGACACTTAGTACACACCAATATTTTAAACTTTTTTTTTGTATGTGCATAAACATGCCAATTTTTATAGTTACGGATTATATATCATAAGATATTATTAAAATATACGAGCGATAACTATAGTAAATTTAAAACCAAAGTATCTAAAATTCAATAACACTATAAATTATGGAGAATATTTTCCTAAGTTTTTATATTACTGAGTACTTAAAAATTATATAAAAAGGCGCTCAGGTTGTATTCCTTAATACGGATATACTAGAAAAACATACATCTGTTATTTAAGCTGTCAACCCCTTAAATAAACAGCTACTGTTGTGTTTAAAAATGATTTTTTGCGATATTTCTAAACGTCTAAAGTTTCTTTTAAATCAGATTAATTAAACTTTAACTTAGTTAATATTCCTCAAATAAAGTTTCAGAAAATAACTTGAAACTGAAACTAAAATAAAAGCTTCAAGAAATTTTTTTCTTTTTTTTTAAAATTCATTTTAAACTTTTAGGTATCGCGTTTTCTGTGTAGGTACCTAATATTTCCCGTTTCTGAGTACCTTGGAATGTGTCTCTCTCGCTAATCCAAGGCGTGTTCGGATCTCGGTGTTTTTCTTCCTCTGATTAACACTTTCACTGCTATTCATTTGCCCAGTGCTGCCCCTATCCGGCCAGCCATTTTTTAAAGAAAATGCCAAATTTCAACCTACATATTTTATTACACAGAAAGCTGGCACCAGTGTGTTTTACAGCCTTCCATTTTCATGGATATACCTGGGAATGACTTACCAGATTAGTAATGGGTATACACATGATATCTTTTGAAGCATTGTCCTTTGTGATTTGACGATAGATGGCGCAACGGGACACTCATAACAGTGGTATGCAAAAAACGTAGGTTTCCGTACTTAGCCAGCTGGAGCAAGATAAGAAAAACGAAGATCTCCATAGTTAGCAGCGGAAGTGTTAAACGCTTCCCATATATTTGAATTGCTGCACTTGCTTGATGTTTATGTCTCTAAATCATAACACACATCTTGTTATTTTTGTTTGGAGGGGGGGTTCTGATTACTTTCTTTTCTGACTTCTTGCAGTTTATGGTTAGTCCTTCTTTCTCGCTTTCCTCTACGATACTGTTTAGGAACTCATATAGTTACCTTTCAAAGAAGATTAATAGTAATTTTTTTAAAAACTGTCCAATATGTTATGGTTCAAGAACTTTTCATATTCATTGTTCAAACTATTCTTACAGCCATTAATGAATCGGTGATCTTTTAAAAGACACTCTCTGTTAACAATTTCTTTTCCCGCACTTGCTTGTGGAACTCCTTTCTGGCTAACTTTAATCTGCAAAAATTTAAATGCAATATCAATCGCTATCTAGTGTCCCCCTGATTACTCTTTTCTCTTCCCGCTCATTATTCGTGTTCCTGTTCCTAATTCTTCCACGCCCAGTAACCCCCCCCTTGTGTCTTAGTGGCTTTTCTGCCTTACTTGGGGTGAAACCGATTAAAAAAACTCGTGTTTGTATTTCTCTAGAATTACTATAATCGCTACTACTTTAATACCATACACCTTAGAATACAAACATTGAAAACATATTAAAAAGGGAACCTCTTTAAAATGGCTAATGAATAGGCCGAAAGCACTTGGGACTACAGTCATTACAGACAGTTCCTGAATTCTCGTACCCTGTCCAAATGGAAAACTCTAAGTACATTGTGAGAATTTTCTTGTCTTTCATATTCAATGAAACATGTATAAAAGAAAGGTTGCTGCTTAAATATATAATATATCCAACGGAGATAGCTATTGTCCTTCTAAACCACTTCAATCAAAACGTTTGCCGTCGACAGCGCTGACAGCAGTTATTTATCTGCCATCGCGTAAAGGTGAAACATGGTCAGTATTTAATGGAGGAGGAATCCATCAAGTATGCCCTCGTCTTATGCTGGAAATCTTTCTTCGTGTCACCTTGCTATATATTTTCGGGACTCCTAAATTCTGTCTTAACAAGCTCGACACCCAATTCACAAAGAGCATGCCATATTTAATTCGGGTTGATGCCTGCAATCTTCGAGTCGAATTAAAATCCCGATAGAGCCATTCGTTCGCCACGTACCATCCCGCATCACGGTAAGACCTCAAGGTTTAATACCTCTTTCTTTCCGCTTCGTTTTATCCGTAAAACAGAAACACTTCAGATAGAGGATAGACATTTAAAAATAAAAATAAAAAGTGGGGAAACAAAAATAAGAGGATAAACACATCGTCAAAATAAAATAAAAAAACTTTACTCGAGATAATAAGTAAAGAAGAAAGCATGCAAACAATAAATAACTAAATAACGAAGAGATGAGATGAACATTTTCCACTAATATCTCATCCCAAACGGCCTATTTTATTTATCTTTTTCTGTGAAGAGTTCTTATCCTCTCGTTCGTGTGTAATTTTTGTTTTATACCCACTTGACTGACAATGAGAACACTTAAAGACCCGCAATAAAACTTGTTGTGGCGTATGGCAAGAGGTTATTAGCGTCACATTGTCAGTTAGAGTGCTTGTTGTCTTCTCTTTAACGTGATGTAGTTGTCGATGTTCGCTACGCCAACTACGAAACAAAATCCATGTGCCAAAGGCATGAAGTAGTGGCGGCGGGGGGGATTGTCATTAGTCGGCAGGAGGAAGAAGAGGAGGAGGAGGAGAAGGGAGTTGAGAAGCCTCTTTAAATGGCGATGAGAATTAAATACTTTGTGGAAGGGCCCAGAGAAAAAGAGAGACTGACGAGAAGACGTAGAGAAAAGAAGGAGTAAAAAAGAGTGAGAACAAGAGAGAGGGATGGATGATAGTCAGAAAGAAAGAAAAAAGAATAAAGTAGAGAGATCGAAAGAGTCATAAAAAGGAGGGAAAAGAGATCAAAGACTGGAACAGAAAACGAAAAAGAAT